TGAAGGGCTGAATGGCCTGCTCTGTCTGTTTTGTGTTTCTGTTTTCAGGACTCAGGGTTAGGGAAGAAATTTTGGACTAACAGAACTTGTCTTGCAGAGACCTGACAAAGACAAGGGACCAAATAGCTTCCATTAAAACAACGATCATTCTATTATTCTGAAATTTGACCCATCAACATTATTTCAGAGTCCTGATGCTGTGTGACTTGGAAATAAACTTGCATGGAATGGTGTTTCTGTGAGCCTGATGCATTATTCTTTGAGTTACAGATTTGGAACGTGCTGTCAAAGGAACCTTGGTAGTTGCTGCATGCATCTTGTGGTTGGCACACTCTGCAATGAAAGGTAGCCTGTAACAGTGGTGGTAGATGTTTAAGACTCTGGATGAGGTGCCAGTGACGTGAACAACTGCTTTGTTCTGGATGGTGTTGAACGTGAGTGTTGTTGGAGCTACAGTTGTTCAGGCAAATTGGAAGTGTCCCAGAAAATTCTTGACTTGTGACTTACAAGTGGTGTAAAAACTTTGGGAAGTCAGATAGTTAGAGATTTTCTGCAAATTCCCAACCCTTGTTGTTGCAGTCCTTTCGTGATTGGTGCAGTTAAGTTTCTGGTGTCCCTTGGGCTGTTGATTTTGGAGGATTCAATAATGGTAATGCTATTTAAGTACACATGGGTTCTATCTTGTTGGAGATGGTCTTTGCCTAGTAGAAATGTTTGTTGCCCTGATCAAATCAAAATAGTCCCTGCTGACACATACTACTTTGTTATCTGAGGAATTGGGAAAAGTTATGATAGATTAGGAAAGATTGATGCACAAAGGTACCTAATACACTGATCATTGAAAGTAAGCATCAGATATAGGAAATATTTAGGAAGGCAAATGGTATGTTGGCCTTCATTGCAAGAGGATTTGAGCACAGGAGCAGGGAAATCTTACAGCAGCTGGGCAGGGCCTTGGTGAATCCACACCTGGAGTATTGTGTGGAGTTCTTATTTCCTTGCCAAAGAGGGAGTGCTGCAAAGGTTCACCAGACTGATTCCTGGGATAGTGGGTTTGTCAAATGAGGAGAGTTTGGGTTGACTGGGCCTGTATTCACTAAAGTTTCGAAGAATGTGAGCAAATCTCAATGAAATGTAAAAGCATTCTGACAGGGCTGGGTAGACTGGATGCAGATCCAGAACAAGGGGTCACTGTGTGAAGTACCTATGAAATTCTCGATCACAGAAGATTGCGGAGATGAAATCATGAAATAATTTTAAGAAAGAAATAGATTTCTAGAAGCTAAAGGTGTCAGCGGTATGGGGAGTGCATTGGAGTATGATGTTCAGATAGAGAATCAGCCATGATCATGTTGAATTGCAGAATAGACTATGTTTCTATGAATTGAGCACTGCAACCACTGCAAACCTCCACTTCTGACCAAATGATGGAAGAAATGTCGTTGTAAGCCAATTAAAATGGTTGAATCTAGGATAGTCCCTTTAAGAAATCTCTGCATCTGTAACCTGGGTCCGAGAAATGTAGAGAAGGCAGGTTCGGTCAAGGCATTCAAGAGGGCATTAGATGGTTATTTAAATAGAACTAATGTGCAGCATTACATGGAAAGAACTGGAGAATCACACAATGACGTAGCACTCATTCACAGAGTTGGTGCACAATAGGTCTCCTGACCTGTAATGATTCTGTGGTCAAATGTTGCTTTAATGTCAGGGGTACACCTCACTTCTGGAATTCAGTGCTTTTGTCCATGATTGGTCTAAGGCTTTAAAAAGGCCTTGAGTTAAGTAGTTGAGGAAGAACCCAAAATAAGTATCAATGATTGGGTTATTGTTGAGTAATACAGCTTGATAGAACTGTCAAGAGCAAACTTCTATCACATTCTTGACGATTGAGAATAGACTAATGGGCCTTGATTGGATTTTTATGGCTTTTTGTGCACATGATATTACTGGGCAATTTTTCACACTTTTAGGTAGATACCAATGCTGTATCTGGAATAGCTTAGCTAGAGGCCTGCCTCATTTTGGAGCAGAAGTCTTCAGTATTATGACCACAATGTTGTCAGGTCCTGTAGCCTTCTCTGAATCACTTGAACTTGACTGTTTCTTGACATCACCTGTCATGTCACAGGCAGCCTAGTAGGCTGGATTTCATTTGGGGATAGAGGTGTTGTAGAAATTGGGAGAAAGCGAGGCTGGGATAGGTGAGACTGCACGGGGACTGGAAGAAGAGAAGGTGTATTCAGTCCTGATGTGGGAGTGGGATTGGATTAGTGAAGGACAGGAGATGGGGGAAGTCACAGAATTTCAGGATTGTTACAACACGGAAGGAGGACATTTAGCCCATTGTGCCTGCACCCTTCTATTACTTAGTGCTAATTTCTTGCCTTTTCCCCATGTCCTGCACACCATTTTTTTCCCAAGTAATCATGAAATGCCTTCTTGAATGTCTCAATTGAACCTGCCTCCATAATATTTACAGACAGGGCAATAATTACTCACTTTCTTCCATTGCCCTTGCTTTGTTTGCACATCACTTTAAACCTATGCCCACTTTCTGTTTTTTTTTTAGCTCTTACAAGCAGGAACAGCTTCTCCCTATCTACTCTTTCCAGCCTGCTCATGATTTTGAAAACCTCAATCAGATCTCCTCTCAGTTTTTTCTCCAGGGAGAACAATTTCTTAAGCCCATCATAACTGAATTTATCATAGCTGGAGCCATTCTTGTAAGTTGCTTCTATACTCTTTCCAGTGCATTCACATTTTCTTATAATGTGGTGGCCACAACTGTGAATTATACTACAGCTGAGGTCTCGCAAGTGTCTTGTACAAGTTCAACATTACCTTACTGCTTTTGTACTCTGTGCCTCTATTAATAAAGCTGAGAATACTATATACTTTATTTGCTGCTCTCTCCACCTATCACTTCAATGATCTGTGCCATATGCACCCTGCTGTTGCACCACCTTTAGAATTGTACCCCCTATGTTATATTGTCTTTCAAGTTTTTCCAACCAAAGTGTATCACCTTCTATTTCTCTCAGTCCTTTACTTTCAGCCACCTATCCACCCACTGCTCCAATTTTTGGTTGTCCTTTTGGTGTTCCACACTGTCTTCCTCACAGTTTGCAGTTCTTTCAAGTTAGTGTTATCTGCAAACTTTGAAATTGTCCACTTCATACCAAGGTCCTGATCATTAATATATATCAGAAAAAACAAAGGGTCCCAGTATTGACCCCGGAAACTCCACTACAAACCTTCCTCCAGCCCGAAGATGTCCATTGACCATTACTCTCTGATTCCAATTACTCAGCCAATTTTTAATATTTTGTATCCATGTGGTTTTTATATCACACCTTATAACTTTCCTCCAGTCTTTTGTGTAAAAAAATTCCAGATTCATTAATTGAATTCAAATTCACCATCTGCTGTGGTGGATTTGAGCCCACGTACCCTAGATCATTTTCCTGGACCTCTGGACTGCTGACCCAGTGACGTTGTCAAGACACCACCTGCCACAGTGAGGTAGTAAGGTCCCAGTTGGGGATGTGTGGTATTAGCAGTTGTTTCGATGATACTGGAGTTGGGAGGAGGTAGATGGTGTAGGTAAGCTTTTTGGGCTTGGAGGAAACGCAGCCCTCCTTGACTATAAGTGATGCTATACTTTCACCTAGCCTCAGCTCTTTTCTTTCAACTCTCCAAACTACAGAACTCCCCAGGCTGTGAGAAACTGGATCATCTGTGTTTAAAAATTGAATAACAGTTAAAATGAAGGCAAGCAGCATGACTGAAATACTTGAATAACCAACCTGTTTCCCAGAGACCAGTTAATTGTTTGCTACTTATTCTGCTTGATTCTAATCAAAAATATGCAGGTTTCAGTATTTACACCTCTGAAATGATCCAAACTCATTCAGATTTGAGATTTGAAAGTCAACTCTCAGTCTCTGACATTTCCACACTTGTTCTCTTCTGGTCTCCAATGAGTGTGGTCTCTGCCAGAAGGGTCTGCTTAATGGCAGGAAAACTATCTAATTTAATAGAACAAACAGAAATAGTGTATTGAGTGGTAAGAAATTGGGAAGGAAAGGAACCAGAGTTGACCTTTTTATTGTGGGAGAATTTTAGTATAGGAGTGAGGAAGTCTTGGTGAGGCCATACCTGGAGTATTATGAACAGTTTTGATTCCCTCACCTGAGGAAATGTATGCTTGCCATAGAAGGAGTACAAAGGAAGATCACCAGACTGATTCCAGGGATGAATGTATTGTCCTATGAGGACAAGTTATGGAGACTGCCTATTTTCTCAAGAGTTTAGAAGAATGAGAAGTGATCTCATTTCAGCATACAAAATTCTTACAGGGCTCAACAGGGTAGATGCGGGAAGAATTTTTTCTCTGGCTTGGTGGGGTGTCTGAAACCAAGTGTCTCAGTCAGGAAATAAGAGGCAGGTCGTTTAGGAAAGATGAGGATGAATTCCTTCAATGAGGTTGATGAATCATTAGAATTGTCAGTCAAACAGGGTTGCAGAGGTACAGGCATTGAGAATATTCAAGACAGAGATTGATTGATAGATTTCTGGATATTACAATGATAGTGTGGCAAAATGCATTGGGGTTCAAGATTAGCCATAATGTAGTTGAACAGCATAGCAGACTTGATCGGCTGAATAACCTACTCCTGCTCCTGTTTCCTATGTTCTCAATACAGCTGACCAGGATATCATAGAAATTTGTTGCTCACCTGTTTCACAAATTATTTTTTAAACATCTTAAATTGCATAAGGAAGAAAATAACGTGCACAGTAGATTTACTGTGTAGCACAGCACCTTCAACAGTTTATGGTACAGTACTTGCATTTAGTTTTATAGTATGCATAGAGCTGGAAGTGCCTTTATTGATATAAAAGGTTTGCTTATAATAATTGGCAGAGTTTTTAGTCTTATACAAAATTGGTTTTCATGGTTGGTTAACAATTGTGTCTTTCTGTTTTTTCAATAGAATATTCCTGAGGTGGATGAAGAGGGTTACTGCATCAAACCAGAAGTGAACCAAATTAATATCCTTACGTATGACATTAGATGATTCAAGTTATCTTCATTTCGTTAATACTTTGGGGTAATCAATGAGATACAAAATGAAAATAAGACAGATTACTACAGGAATTAGCTGCTATTTTTGTATTTCAGGCACACAGCTCTTTCGACTGACTACATATCATAGGAAGGTTACATAAAAAGAGAACTTTATTTCTCGCTGGCACTTCAATACAATAATCAATCTTGAAATGTTAATTGTTTGGAACAAAATCTGTTGGAAAGTAAAAGTATGCTAACATCCTACATAATTAGATTGGATTATAGTGAAGTGCCACAAGATGTGCAAAGATGCTTTATGTTTCTCTCTTCTAAACACCTTTAGTTGTTTGGAATTCAAAGTTAATATTCATTTCATGCCTACATACTATGGCAAAAAGGATTGGACATGCTTTTGTTCATTGAAGTGTTAAACCTAGGCTAATGTGAGAGCCTATTTGCAATCATTAAAGTGTGGTTTTTCTCCCTTGACTAATGAAAACATGCCAAAGAGAACAATTTCTACTCATCAAGTGATTCAGGCTCTGAGGATGAGGAACCCAGGAAATTCCATGTGCAAATCAAACCTGTGCAACCAAATAATGGTACTAACCACACGTTGGAAGAATTGAAAGCATCCATTGGGAATATTACACTTTCTCCATCCCCATCTGTAAGTAATATTTTGATCTTATTTGGTAATGATATTGTGAAGCCCGCTTGGGTATTTCTAAAGTATATTAAAATATTAATTTAGTTTTTGGAGGACCATTGAAAATCTGTATAAAAATGTTCAGTTTATAATGTTAAATGATAATAACTTCTAGTTTTTTGTGTATTGTTGTTATGGTATTGCATAACTTTGGTAGCCTGATTTGTTCATCAGAAGGCAGAGTTCCCCATGGATGATGGTGACCAAACCACCATGATCGGCTGACTTACTCCAAATTAGTCTCCTTATTTAAAAGAAAGCTCCTTTCATGCAGTTAGAATTCAGGGAAGAATTACTAGACTAATACCTGGAATGGGTGAGTTGACTGATGAGGAAAGGTTGGACAAGCTGGGCTTTTATCTGCTGGAATTTAGAGTGAGAGACAACTTGATTGAAGCATACAGGATAATGAAGGGTCTTGACAAAGTGCACATGAAGAGGATCTTTCTTGTTGCGGAAGATGTAGGTCTAGGGATCACTGTTTAAAAATACTATGTTGCATGTTAAGGCAGAGAAGAAGAGACTTTTTTTTCCCCCCCCCTGAGGTTTGAAAGTATTTGAAACTTCCTCAGAGGTGGTGGAAGCAGGATCTTCAAATGTTTCCAAGGTCAAGGTCGATAGATCCGTAACAAACCAGGGGATTAAAGGTTATTAGGGTAGGTGGGAATGTGGAGTAATCAAATCAGCTATGAGCATATTGAATGGCTTAAGATGTTTACTTCTGCTTCTAATTCATATGTTTGTAAGAAATGCAATAACTATGTTACGTCTTCCAGTTGAATACATTTTTTAAATCAATCTGATAAATGCTATGACACTTCTTTGTTTCTTGCTGTGAAGGGTCATAGCATTAATTCAATATAAATTGAAGCTAAAGATGAAATTGGATACCTTGCGCCATATTATATTGACTTTTTAGGGATTAAATAGTGCAATCTGGTGAATGTCTAATCTGTTTTTCAATACTTGTTCAAGTTTGAATTGAATTAGACTCTCTGAAATTCATCTTAAATGAGGTGTTTCATAGTTACCGTGCATCTTTTAACCCATTATGATTCTGGCACAGCCCATCTTTTTTTTTATGCCATTCATGAGCTTCACATTAATTTACATATAAACCACCAAACTCTGCACTTCAAAACAGTCCTAATTTGAATGCAATAAAATCATGCAATTAAATTAACACTGAAAAGGCCCCCAGTTTCTGCCAGGAGACGGAGCACATCTTTCCAATCTTTAATAAAATTGCACTTGTGTATTTTGAGTAATTAGCTCAAGAGAATTTGTTCTGTTGATATGAGGATTGGGACTGAAGAGTGAAAACGGAATCTATAAAATAATGAATGTTTGTGTTAATAATGGAAACTATGACTTTTTAATATCAATAGTAAAATTAGTCCATCAAGCTTAATATTGAGCTGTGTATAATCAATACATAAGCCTGAAGGCCAGTGGAAAAATTCTCAAGATCCTGAAGTTTTTTTTTCCATGAAGAACACCTTTCACTCTTTTGGATGCTTTACTTGACCTTTGGCTTATTTACCGACTTTAGTTTACCTTACCTACTGGCTGCAGTACTCTTAATTGAAGGCTAGAAATATTGTTGAGTATTTATATAACTGTAAAAATTTTTTTTATAGAATCATACAGCACAGAATCTCAGACCCTTTGGTCCAGCTTATCTGTGCTGACAAGGCATTCCAATCTGATTTAGTCCCATTTGCCAGCATTTGGTCCATATCCCCCTCAACGCTTCCTATTCATACACCCATCCAGATGGCCTTTTAAATATTGTAAGTGTACCCGCCTCCACCACTTCCTCTGATAGCTTGTTCCATACGTGCACTACCCTCGGGTAAAGAGGCTACTGCTCAGGTCCTTTTAAAATCTTTCCCCTCTCACCTTAAATCTATATCCTCGTTTTGGACTCTCACCATCCTAGGAAAAAGACTTGGCTATACACCCTAACCAAGCCCCTCATGATTTTGTCAACCTCTATCAGGTCAGAAATCTGCCTTTTGATGTAAATGTATTACTATGTAATTCTATAGCTGAATGATTAAATTATTCTTTTGATTTTCATCTTTTACATGCTGACTTCAGAGGCATAGCCCGGTAAGTAAGTATTTCATCTTTGATGGGCCTTTTAGTGAGTATTTGCTTATTTGTAAATGTATCTGTATGTGTGTGCTTGATTTATTCTTTTTTTATTATTTATTTTCATTGGTGTGTGCACTAATGGGAATTATATTTTTGAATTTGGTTATTACGATTTACTTGCAAAAATTATTGAATTACTATTTTTGCTTATATATTGTTTTACTAATTGTATTATACATTTAGTATGAATAGAATTTAAATTGCAGTGTTAATCTATTTTTAATTAAATTTTATTTGTCATTTCAGAATGCAATGAAAAGAAATTCATCTAGTAAGTACTAGTTGATAGGTTTCTGCTTTATAGCTTGCTCCCTGCAACTGGGATTATAATTTATTTGTTTGCATTCACAGACTATAGACTGGAAAAATTGGGACTATTTTCCCTTTGAGGAGTGAATTCAGAGCGAAAATTTGATAAGCTATATTTATAATTAGGGATAAAGGATTCTCACTTGTGAAAGGACAAGACCGAGAGAGCACAGGTTTAAAGTAATTAGTAAATGAGGCAAAATGATGTTAGGAAAAACTTTTCACAAGTGGTTGGCTCTGACCAAGAGTGCGGTGGAGGCAAGTTCAATTGAGGCATTCAAAAGAGATTGCACTGTTATTTGAAAAAGAACAACATACAGGTTATGGTGCTTAGATAGGAGAATGACAATTAGTGTGATGCTCATTTGGAGCACAGTGCAGGCATGATAGGCCAATTATGAACAACTTTTGTGCTGTGACACTTGTGGTTCCAAATTGTTATGTTGGTGTACTGATTGGAACCAAGTGGACCTTGTTGACTATGAGGCCCTTGATTGGGGTTGTTAACCTGGGCAAATCAGGAAAGCCCTGGCTGACCAAAATAACCAAGAGATTTAGAATCTGCTCAGTTCAGGGGACTGACTCTGAGCTGGCTGGCCACAGCCATTGTGCAGTGCACAAGTAAATAAAGGGTGACTTAGTGACAGGATACCAGCCTCTGTGCATTTATTTCAGTTGGGAAGCTAGAGAAATAAATGCTGGCCAACATTTAACCCATAATATTATGCATCTTGCTCTCTTTCGGAAGCTGTACTACTTAATTTTACACTCCAGTTAGTACATTTAATATTGTGCTTTGCTGAAGTCATCTATTATTAGACTTCTGCAGGTAAAGACATATTAAATTAGCTGATTTAAGCTTGTATTATATGCTGTTAAGTCAATTTAACTATATTTCTGCAACATCTCCTCACTGTGCCCCTTTCTCACCTAGTCTGCTGCTGAAACACTCATTCATGCTTTTGTTATCCACGTTCATGCCTATTCCAATTGATGCCAGGTTGACTTTTCAATTTCTACCATCCATAAATTTGAGGTCATCCTGAACTCTGTTGTCTACATCCTAGCTTGCAGTAAGTCACATTTGCCTGTCACCCTTCACTGACTTGTGTTTGGCTTCCAAATAAGTAGCTCCTTGATTTTGAAATTCTTACCCTTTTATTTCAAATCCAATCCACCTTGTCTCAAAAAACTCCTCCTGCCCTGTCTGAGATCTCTGTACTGCTCCATTTCTGGCCTATTGAGCATTCCAGTTTTAATCATACCACCATTGGAGGCCTTGCCTTCAACTATTAGAATCCTAATCTTTATCATTATTTCCCTAAACATTCCTGCCTCTTTACGTTTCTTAAAACCTCATTGGACAAGCTATTGTTTGTCTTCCTCATTGCTTCCCAAGGCGTCTTGATGTCAAATTTTGATTGATAACGTGTCTAAGGAATGCCTTAAAATATTCAACAGTGCTGAAGGCATTATATAAATACATTATTATTGTTTTATACTTTGGTAAGCAACAATTAGATAAATAAGGCCATAAAAAGATAACAAAATACTGAACTTAATATTTAGAGGGATGGAAAAAATCAAAGAGCTTTAAACAGAGTTTTGTCGAGAAGTTTAGAGTAAGTTACACTTGGATTATGTTAGGAAGAATGTAAAACAGAATGTTACTTAAATGAAGACAGACTACTTGGAAGGCATATGTTACAGCTGTTCATTCAACAACTAAAGTGATCATGATAATATTTTGGTGAAAATTATAAATCGTCTACAGGGGAAATTAGATTTTATTTCATGATGTGAATTATGGTGGTCTGGAATGCACTGCCATCAAATAAGTTGTTATAACAGTAAATTTAAAAATGGAATTGGATCGTGCATGAAAAGAACAATTTTCAGGTTTTTTGGAGAAAGAACAATGATGTGGGATTATTTGTTAGCTCTAAAGAGCTGTCACAGCTATGCTGAACTGAATAGCCTGCTTCTGCGCTGCAAAGTGTTGTGTATTATTTTGAGAAATATTTGTACTCCTGAGTCAATTTTGCTGTTATCATGTATTCAAAAAGGAATAGTTATGAACTTTAGAAAACGAGTAGCACTCAATTTGAAATGTTTTGAAAAGTATCTTTGAAAACATTTTAAAAACTTCTTATGTTCAGTTACTGGAAATCACTTTTAAACATTTTCCTCACTTTGTCTCCTTATACAAGGTGAAGAGCTGGTTCGACCAAGATCATGTGTTCCATCACCTGAGTAAGTCAGTACGGTATTAAACAGAAGGTTTGGTAACTTCTTAGATATTTTTAATCAACCTATTCAGACATGTTATGAGAATGCTTTGGAGCAGGTGGGAGTTGAACCTAAGCCTTCTGATGCAAAGGTAGGGACATTATCAGTGCACCACAAGTGTTCTAGCTTTTTATACGTTTGGAGAGGAATGCAAGGTCTGTTGACTAAAGAGCAGGCATGTGTTAGGAATAGATATCAGTCCTGTTCCTGACTTTTGTTTGTCGCCAATGATGAAGTGCCAATGATGAACTGCAGCCTACTAGATATTTAAAACTTGTCAATATATGATTTTTTTTCTTCACTTTATTTGGCTCAATAATATAACAAAACTATAGTAACTGCAAATATTTAAGTTATTTTTACTAGACTGTTGTTCTTTTAGCTGTGTTAGTGACCTTGAATGTATAATTTGATTAATTATTAATTTCAGAATTCTGATACATATCTGTTGCATCAGCCAAAAATTTACATGTTACTCTTATTATCCTTTCCAGCTTTAAAAATATGGATTTGAAACACTGTTCCCCTCTCCACATGTGCTGCCAGACCTATTGAGTGTTTATTCTAGATTTGCAGCATCTGCAGTAAAAATACTGCCTTTAATAAAATGATGCTGGCTATGAAAAAAATATTCCTAGTGACAATTCTTAAAAATATTTAGTATATTTGAGGATTTTTTACATAGTGCCTTCTGGATAGTTACTTTTTGCAGACAGAATAGGTAAATAAGCTGTTCCTGGGAGAAAAGAACAGAGATGGAAGAATGGCGGCAATGAATTAAACACTGATACAAAAGCAAGACCTTGTGAGAAATCAGAAGAAAAACTGAAAATGCTGCAAATATTCAGCACTTCAGACAGCATCTGTGGAGAGAGAATTGAGGTGTGAATTTCATAAAAGGACATATCATAACCAAAAAGTCTCTGCTGGTGGCAGCCATAATTGGGTCAGAATGGAACTTTCCCCTCCCTCTTCAAGAATATTGTGCTGAATAGCGAGAGTACTGCTGGCTATTCAGATTAACTGGCAGCTCTGTAGTTTCAACAGCACTAGGATTGAGTAGTAGCAATTGGTGGGATGATATGCAGTGCCTGAGGAAGAGGATCATGGATTCCAGATTAAGGTATTATCCTGGAAGTTTGGACAGGCCTGCCTGGCAGACCCAGCAAGTTAGAAGAGGGGGTGGGTCTCTGTGTTTTGGAGTCTGTTTAATAAGTAATGGGCTAAAGTATGATGGGGAGTAGGCAGGAAAGTGGAGTTGAGGCCGAGATGAGATCTGCTTTGATCATGTTAAATGACAGAGCAAGCTTTACAGTTTGAATTGCTTACCTCTCCTCCTTTCTTCTTATTCTTATCATCTTCAACCAAGCCCACGAATAAAGTGGACTGCTCTGTCTGGGATGGTGTTAAACCCTTGGGTCTAGTTGGGTGCAGCAAGTAGTGAATATTTAATCATGAAGTGAGTCTTGAATGTTAAAGAGACTCTAAGAGGCTAGGAGACATTGATTATTGGGGTACCCTAAAAAATGGATTCTTCTAGTATTTATGATGTAGCCTGAGATTTAATTTAACAACTAGTCATATGAAAACAAAGCAAAGAGCTACAAGAAACAGAGGTCATGATGCCCATTGAACTAGCATCAGCAATTTATCTGGTGTCAATTATGCCCTATTATCAATGTTTTCTAAAATTTAAAAAAAAATTATTCTTAGAATATGTGAACTAACACTCTAACGAAGGCAGGTAAGAGGACAACAATCACCTGACGTCATGAGTGCCTATCCCATGGTCATTGGCCAGAAGGATTCAGTCAATTGATTGATGCAGCGTAAGTTACTTGCCCCTAGAAATATGACGTAACAATAGTGCTTGGGGTAGAGGAGAGTTCTCAAAGACCAGTTTTTATCAGGCAGACCTTGTATGCAGATTAAAGCTGAATGGGAGAAGTTTGGTAATACAATTAGCTTTGTCTTTAAAAGAGGTTCATCTTCATTGCTGATAGCAATGTGCATGGCTAAAGCTGTTGGGCTTCCTGCAAGGCATGGACCTCCCTCAGCTCCAGATAAAATACTAGAAATGGCAGTGGGTTGAAGCCCTCGAAGGCTTCAGTAAGCCCAAGGAGGAATGGAACACCCAACATCTTGCCCATCCCATAAAATGTCAGACAGATCAGGGTTAGGTAGATGGGAGATTGAGTAATACACCTCCTGGATTTTATGCATACCTTCTATAAACGTGCCAACAGGGGAGCAAAATTCCAGCTCCATGCTGCATTCTGCACTAATTTTCAAGAAATGATATCAGTTATACAAGTATCCGTGATTGGGTTCAGGATAGAAGCTTTAATGTAGGCATTAAAACAGAAATATCAAGATTAGTTAACCACAGAAAGGTAATAGCTAATCATTGGAATTGTGCACTAAATTAAAGCTTTTGCTTTTGCTTAACTTTTTTTTTAGCGCCAGAAGGGTCAATAATGATCTGTTTTCACTGGATCCATTGTTTGGACCTCCACTTGATTCCTCCTCTTCATCCACATCAACAACTTCAGGTGAATATTTATTTAGTTTCTGATATTGCTTAATAGTGTAAATATTTTAAATACAGTAGTACTGTTTATGCCACTTTCAAGATAGTTGTGATTTTTGTGTATGTTATTTCCTCAGTATTGTTGCTGTCACTATGTAATGTTAACAAATTGGTGCAATGAATACATTAACTGAGGTAAATGTTTCATTTCTTTGCATGAGTAAGTTACCATTGACAAAAGGGATAATATTCAATTGATACTAAACTCTGTTTTCCCAAGAGTTTCTTTTCTTCATTAGTACTACCTTTTGTTTGATTTTGACTGCAAAGGTGAGAGACTTTGTCTCTTCTATATTTCATTAAAATGATAGCAATGTCATTGTTAACTCTCCTCACTTTTACTAAAATCCAATAGCAAATTTTATACAGCAAGCAGTCACTTCATTTAGATACTCAATTTTAAAGTTTCCTGTATTTAAGGTGCTCAAAATAAATTGTTAAAAGATAATTCTACACAGATTGTATTTTTTCATGGAAGTTGTATTGTATCTGCTTGTCAAGTAGAGCAATGTGTTTTGCTAGTGGACTTGATGGGCCAAATATCTTTCTTTCTGCTCCTACATCTTATGGCCTTATGCTGAAATGTAGGACAGTTCAAAACTCTGAATTTCATGGGACAGAGCATGCCCCAATTCTCTTTGAAAAGTGGCAAGAAATGTATTTTACTTCATTTTGAACACCATATATGTCATTTTTGTCTCTCAGAATAATAATTGATGTGATGCATGATCCCAAAGCACTTGGGTAAATCAAAAATGAAATCCACTATAATGAAGAGGATTTAACTTAGCCAGCGAACTTTGAAAAGTGCCTGTGGTCATGAGCAGTTGTTAAGGTCTGCTAGCCAGCTATAATTATTTTTGTATTGTCAGTAATTTTGGGGCTATATTTTTTTTGAGAGAGATTACCAGTAGTCCTGTTTTTTGGGTTTTATGAATTAGCATGTAAACCACTAAAAATTCAGTAATAAAGCAATTTCCACTTCATACTGATGAAGAATATATATCTAGAGTCAGGGGCCTGATGTAATTCTAGAGAGAAATAAACTGAGACTTCCTGAAAACAGTTGACTCGTACTGATTTGTTGTTAGAAGAATTGTAAATCCTGTCTGTTTTCTTTTTCTGAAATTCATTAATTTATTTTCCATCAAGCATGCCATGTATGTCCAACTATGATGGCGTGTGCAAACTAAGTGTGTTACCCCATTTGTATACTTGCAACGTGGAGCTGGAGGAACACAGCAGGCCTGGCAGCATCAGAGGAGCAGGAAAGATGATGTTTCAGGTCGGGACCCTTCTTCAGAAAAGCATACAAATATACAAGTATACAAATGATTTTTTTATTCACTGATGGGGCATAGGCATTGCCGGCTGGCTAGTGTTTATTGCGCATCCCTAGTTGCCCTTGAGAAGATGGTGGTGAACTGCTGCTTCAACCACTGCAGCCCACGTGTAGGTAGACCTACAATCCCCTTAGGAAGTGAATTCCAGGCTTGTGACCCATAGACACACTGAAGGAATAGCAATATAGTTCCAAGTCATTTTGGTGAGTGGCTTGGAGGGGAACTTGAAGGTAATGGTGTACCCATATATCTGCTTCCTTGTACTTCTGGCTGGAAGTGGTCGTGGGTTTGGAAGGCACTCTCTAAGAATCTTTAGTGACTTTCTGCAGTACATCTTGTAAATGGTACACACTTGCTGCTACTGAATCTCAGTTGTAGAGGGGATAGATATTTGTGGATGTGGTGCCAACCAAGTGGGTTGCTTTGTCCTGTATGATATATCAAGCTTCCTGAGTGTTCTTGGTGCTGCACCAGGCAAGTGGAGAGTATTCCATCACACTCCTTACTTGTGCTCTGTAGATGGCGGACAGGTTTTATGGAGTTAGGAGGTGAGTTACTCACTGCAGTATTCCTAGCCTCTGACCTTCTCTTGAAGCTACTGGTATTTATATGGTGAGTCCAGTTCAGTTTTTGATTCCTGGTAACCCTCCAGGATGTTGCTAGTGGGAGATTAAATGATGGCAATGCCATTGAATGTCAAGGGGCAGTTGTTTGAATGTCTCAAATTGGAAATGGTCATTGTCTCGTATTTGTGTGGCATAAATGTTGCTCAGTATTTTGACTATGAATTTTCTGTTATTTTTTCCAATACTGTCACCCATTTTGGAGACCAAAATATTTTTTGGTTATTAATTTGTTTTGGAAAGTAACTTGTACAATTAGAAATCACCTTTAACCACTCATTTATGTTTCTTTACTATGTGTTGGGTAGTACGTCTGAGGGATTATTAACATATGTTTAATTTTAAATTATTCTCATTGCCATGTGAGCATAAGTTTTTTTTTTTTTTTTTTTTTTTGATATTGTTGCTCCTTATAAATAAGAATGCAAGAAACAAGATCAGGAATAGATCATGTGTGCCATCGAGTCAGTTCCACTGTTTAATACATTCACAGTTGATATTGAGCTTCAACTCCACCTTCCGTCGTGCTCCACAGATTCGTTAATTCTCTGAGACCAAAGAGCTGTCTATCCCAGCCTTGTATATTTCCAACAATGAACCATCTGCAGCTGTCTTGGATAGAGAATTCCACAAAATTATAATCCCAGTAGATTCACTGTTTAAGTGAAATAGTGTGTCCTCATCTTAGTCCTAAAAGTTTGGCCCTTTAGCCCGAGGCTGTGTCTCCACATGTTAGATTCCTTGACCAGCAAAAACATGTATCTTAAAACTTCAGAGAAATAGACCTAACTCACTCGACCTTTAGAGACCAAAATTGTGCACAGTACTCTGGATGTGGTCTTACTAAAATCCTGTATAATTTAGACTTCATTCATTTACTTTCCTAGTTGATGTTGCACCTACGTGCTGACGTTCCACATTCCTTGCACACCCAGTCTCTTTGAAAATCAACACCTACAAGTGTTGAATCTTTTTTTTTTTAAAAATTTCTGCTTTTTTTATTCTTATGACCAAAGTGAATAATTTCACACTTCCCTATATTGTTACCAACTCTCCTAACCTGTCTACACTTTTGTAGCCTCTGTGTCCTCTCTACAGCTTACCTTTCCACATAGCATTGTATTATCAGCAAACTTAGATACATTACTTACCATCTTTTCATCCAAGTCATTGATAAAGATTATAAATAGCTCTTTGTGATACCCCATTATCCACTGCCTGCCGGTGCTTTGAAAATGCCCATTTATGCTCATTCTCTGCTCCTCGCAAGTTAATACTCTAAGCATGTTCATAACCTGTTAGACCTGCTCAGTAGTATGGGAAATGCTGGGATCTGTTCTAAAGGTTGTGATAAAGGATCTGCTTGAGCATCATCAGAATGGATTTGAAATGGAAAATTGTGTTTGACAAACGTATTGCAGTTTTTCAAGGCTGTTACTAACAAATTTGATAGAGAAGAGTCAATGGGCATAGATATTTGGTTTTGATGATGTCCCACACAGGAGGTTGGCTAGTAAAATTAAAGCACCTGAGGTAGGAAGTAACATTGACATGGATTAAGGATTGGCTAACAGGCAAAAGACAGATAGTAGGAATAGCCAGTTCAGTTTCAAGTGAATAGTGGGCTACTGCAGGGTTGATACCAGATGTTCACAATATGTATCAATGATTTGGCAGTAGGGTCCAAATTTAATATTTCCAAATATGCATATGCTACAAAGCTAAGTGGAAATGTGTGTTAGGAAAATGTAAAGTGGCTTCAGGAGGATTTGCACAGGTTTAGTGAGTAGGAAAGGATATACCAGTTTTTTTTTTTTTTGTATATTCTCTCATGGGAACGTGGGCATGGCTGGATAGACAGCACTTATTGCCCGTGCCTTGTGTCCGTCAAGAAGTTACTGGTAAGCCGCCTTCTTTAACTGCTGTAGCCCACGTGTTGTAGGTAGGCCCACAATCCCTTAGGGAGGGAATTCCAGGATTTTGACCCATCAACAGTGAAGGAACAGTGTTATATTTCCAAGTAAGGATGGTGAGTGACTAGGAAGGAATCTTGCAGGTGGTGGTGTTCCCATGTATCTCCTGCCTTGTCCTTCTGGGTGGAAATGGTCATGGATTTGGAAGGTGCTCTCTAACGATCTTTAGCAACTTTCTGTAGTGAATCTTGCAGATGGTACACAATACTACTACTGAGTGTCAGTAGTGGAGGGAGTTGATGTTTGTGGATGTGGTGCTAACCAAGCAGGCTGCTTTGTCCTGGATGGTGTCAAGCTTCTTGAGTGTTGCTGGAGCTGTACTCATCCAGGCAAGTGGGGAGTATTCTATCACACCTCCTGACTTGTGCCTAGAAGGTGGTGGCCAGGTTATGGAAGTCAGTAGATGAGTACCATTGAAGTATTCCTAGCCTCTGATCAGCTCTTGGCGCCACTGTGTTGATATGGTGAGTTCAGTTGAGGCTCTGGTCAACACCAAGATGTACCACGGATGAATAAACTATAGTTACAAGCAGAAGCTTAAGTTGTTGGTATTATTTTAACGATATCAGAAGCTACCAGAAAATTTTAAGTGTGACTTTTATTTAGGAAGTTTTGATACCCGTCAATAGAAGAAAACACTCAACTTTGCAGAGTCAGGACTAGGGCTTATTGATTTCAAATTAACATCTTTTATTAAAAAAACATTATTTTATACTTTAGTTTTCAAACACGAAATGTCATCACAGGACATGATTAAGTCAGAAACTTTGCATCTCTTATTGGGAAATTAGGTAAATATTTGAAAAACCAAAAGAACAAGGGTGGTTGAATTAGGTTTGGATTACTCCAACAACTAATGAACATAGTGGACTGAACTCCTGCTTCCTGTGTTATAAACTTTATGGTGCTATATATGAAAGATAATTGTTTGCATGTGGCACATCTTCATCAAAGTTTTGTTTCACCTAGTTAAGTACAGTTCTAAATGGGAAATGTAAATAATGCACGTTGACTAAGATGGTAAAAGCTTAAAACTTGCCTTCATACTAGATTTTAAAATTAACCATGCTGGTGTTATATTTCATTAATTACTTTTGCTTTCATCTTCCTCCTTGTTTTTCTTGACCTTTTGTCCTAGCTTTTCCTTTCCTTCCAGTCAGTAACACTTCTGAGGTACACACGGTGCTTGCTTCAGGTAAATAAAATGATAATGTATTGAAAAACTGAACTGTTGAATATGTGTTTTTCTGTTGCATTATCCAGCAAAGTGGTTTTATGACAGGAAATTGGAAAGCAGTAACCAGGTGCTTTTCTAAAATAAGCCATGAAAACTACAGTAAGCCTCGCTAGTTTTCTAGCTTCAAATATGTTTGGATGGCTTGTTGAAGTGTCTTCATTAAAAAGTGCCTGAGTAATCGCAAATTAAGTTTTCCAAATTAACCATGAATTGACACTACTTAAAAGCTGCTGCACTTGCTCTTAAAATAATGTAAATAGCAATGAAGTGATTCCACCTTGCTGACTAGCATGCATAATGTGCGTGCTGTGTTCTAATTGTACCATTTTTTAAAAATTGGCCTACTTTGGGTTTTTTTGGGACATTTTGATAAAGCCTGTCTAGATTCTCATACATACAATTCAGAAATATGATGCTTCATGAATTCCAGGGCTGTACATTATAGTTAAATGAAATATTTGTCAGATATCCTTGACAGAATATTTGACACTTCACATCTCTGCATCCTTGCAGCTAGCTTGATAGTTGAAGAGCACAGTTGTTTCTGGTTGATATAGTGTCAGATTTATTGACATTAATGTTAATATAATTCATTTGCTATTATTAGGTTGTCAGATGCTTTGAAAGGAACAGAACTACAGTAGCACACTAGTTATCAATCAAATAATTGCGATAGACTTTACACCATATAAAAATTTAAGAACATTGCAAGGTAGAGGACTATTCAGCTCCTTGTGTCAGTACCAACAAAAAAAGAACTAGCAGGCTAATTCCACATTCCAGCTCTTGATCTGTGGCCCTGTAAGTTTAAAAACTTTCAGATGCATACCCTTGTACTTCTCAAATACTATGTATGTCTTTGTTCACACTATCCCTTTCAGGCACTGTCTTTCAGACTCTCACCTACCTCTGATGAAAGATTTCTACAAATTCTTTTCTGATCCTTCTGCCAAATTGTGTAAATCTGTTCCCCTTGGTTATTGTTCTTTTTGCTAAGAGAAGTACCAATTCTTACCCACTTTCATTAAGCCTCACACAATTTTTGTACACCTCAATTAAATCTCTCTTTGACCTCTTCCATTTCACAAAACCAACTGCAGCTTATTGGATCGTTGCTCAAAATTTAAGGCTATTCGGCCCTGGCAGTATCCTCAAAAAATCTCTTGTGTGCAATAGTGGAATATTATTCTACCTATATCACAATAGCCAGGTAACTGTTAGCATTCTAGCTGTGGCCTAGTAAGTGTTTTAGGCAGATCTAGTATAACCGTCACACGTTATTTTCTGTGTCTTGGCTAATTGTATACGCCCTTTATACTTCCATCTATGAAGTGATGGAAGAGACTGTTTCAGGGAGTGTCTCCGTTTGATGTACTTTTGCTGATGGCTGATGAGGCCATTTGTCGAAGTTTTGCACGAGGCTACCAAATGTTGTTGTTTTCATCATTAGTGTATGTTGCAAAGCTACAACAATGACTTCTTCATGTTGGCGTCTGCCAGCTTAAAAGGGTTAATATTTTTCTTTGTTGCCAGCTAGTGACCCTTGGGGACAATAATCATTCTTTGCTAGCCCTACTGACTGTCTGGATACTGACTACCTCACCATCCAGAAACCCTTTCGGTCTTTCATCTTACAAATGTGCACTTGCCAGTGAAGACCGTTTGATCAGTGCCAATAAGTTAGTGAACATTGCTTTTAAGAGAACTGTGGAAATTGTGACTTCAACTTGCCAGAATATACACGTAATGTGCAGTATACAGCGAAGATGGAAATTATTGAAATTCTTTTCTCGATAGCTGTAAGTCATTATACGTTTCACAACCATACAGCAAGAAGCTAACAACACTGGCCTTATAACCATCAACAGGGTCCTCCGGGTCAGCATGATGTTATTCAAGGCTTCATCCAAAGGTGGTATCTAATTTCTCTATACTTGAATGTTTTGCTGCATTAAGATTGTATATAACTATGGACTCGAGGTAGCAGAATTTTCAAACATTTTCAGCAGGGTGTTTTACATTTTGATCAGAGTGAAGATACAATGCTTGGTTCCATGAACAATGTTTTCTTGTTGCTCGTTGTTAGGGAAAGCAAGGAGCACATGAGATTGAAAAGCTTTGGTGGACAGCCAGACTTCTCAATATGTTGTAAGACCCTGTGCTGCTAATGGTGTTGAATGCCTTGATAAGATGTACTGAAGTAAAGAAGTATATCCTGTTGTCTGCACTTTTCCTGTGAGTATGTTTGGAGAAGATCATGTCCACAATAGATCTGTCTGCACGGAAACCACACTATGCTTCCAGATAGTAAGTCTGCAAGTAGATGGTTCTTTTTACAACCCTAACAAAGGCTTTCAGTGTGATACTACAGAGTGAGATGCCCTATAGATGTATTCCATAGTATTTGCTTCTTTATAATGTGACGATTTTAGCATTGTGCCTCCCCGACATAGAAGAACGTTCTAAATGTACAGTTATAGATAGGACTTTCCATGCTTTGGATGGTATTCCATTCCTGCTGCCTTTCTGTTTGCTAAGCAGTCTTTGGTCCTCTCCAACTCAAGTGATGAGTGTGCTTCATGTGACTCAACCATGATGGGAAATTGCATGAAAGTGTCAAGTGTAAATTTGGAAGTGTCTGTCTAAGATGAGTATGCCACATAGTGCTGTTCAGTCAATGATGCATCTGTTTATTTCTGATGGAGTAATTCGCCATCTGCCGACTTCACATGCATAATGATGAAACAAAATACTCTCTCAATCTCTGCAAACGTAGCTTATAAATTTCCATTCTCACAAGCAGTTTGGATTTCTTAGTGCAAGTTGATCTAGTATTTATTTTTGGAGTTTTTTTGGTCTTTTGCACAGCTGTCTTGACTACTTTCAGGTTATGTAGTATTTTTGCTTTTAGGTATATGCTGTGCATTGTGTAAGCTTTGTTTTTTGGATTAACATTTTATGATCCCAGCTGAAATAGGTCTCAAACTAGTTCTTATTGTGGATTCCTCATTTACCAAATGATGCTTCTGCTGCTTCGCAGATTATTAAAGCTCGAAAGTCACTAAGCTTATTGATACTAGCATTGGTGCTTCCTGATAAATCTTTATTGGGTAGTAATAATTCTACCAAAAGTGTGAAGTGCTAGTATTTGACATCATTACTTGTGCAAGGGATGCCACTGTGTGTAGAATACGCTCACTCTGCTGCTGACAAGGGAGTGGTCGGTGTTACAGTCTGTGCTGTGGTAGGTGCAGTTGTGGAGAGTACAAAATAAATTGTACCTTCTCAAAATGACTAGATGTGGTTGGAGCCAATGTCTTGACCTTAGGTGATACTATGATTCCTTGTAATGATGTCAGCTCCTGAAATAAAATGTTGGTGATGCAGCGTTCATTCATGTTACAAAGCTGAAGAAAGCATTGGTTGCTGCTTATCTTGCAAACCCTGTCATGACCTAGGCAGGTTGACCATCAATCATTGTCTGATGCAACATATGCATTGAAATCACCCATATGAATGGCCTCTTGCTATTTAGAAACTTCTTCAGGAAGTTAACAAGGGAGCCATAGAAATGCCTCTTTTATTTATGCATCTGAAGGCAAAAAGCAACATAATTATACATGTTCAGTTTGTGGCAAATTCATTTTTTTAAATTTCATTCTGTTAAATCTTCTGCCTTCATGCTTTCATTAATTCATATCTTGCTCTTCTGCAACTCAGTTATTTCCTATTCGCCTATTGTGTTCATTCTCCATTTGTGATCTGATAAACTGGTCAAATCGCTGCATAGTGACATGTGCGCTGTGCTATTTTTGATGTATCCCTAAATTCATTCTTATTGCACAGTTTGTATGTATATATGTGTATTGTTTTATCATTTTAAAAGTAATTGAATTGCTGCCACAATATCTAACAGTGATTTTTATTTTCTGTTTTTTAAAGCTAAATCTTTGTTTATAATGGGAATTATTTCAAATGATTGCATCCATTAATATAGACAAAGGGACATAGTTTAAATTCTGCCAGGCTTAATTCAGAAACAAACCTTTAGCCTCAAGGATAAAACAATTTTTGCAATTCTTCACAGGCCCATTTACAGTTTTGGGGTGTCGACTTTGAAGTTTGATGACCTGTCATCATTGAAGTGAGGCATTTCAAATTTAATGTAAATCCATAGTGCAACACCTTGGAGAGAAACTAAAACTAAAAACTCATTGATACAGTTAGGAAATTATTACAGAACCAGTTTGGAAAAGTCATCAAAAACACAATACTTTTGAATGCTCTTTTTATTTAATCTCCATATTCACTGAAATGTTTATTTTTATATCAGACAGAACATACCTGATCATATATTTAAATGAGTAATTGGAAAGCCAAAAAACGATATGGTAGTGCTTCATTTGACACCAGTCAACTAATCTGACACTTTAATTGATCTGAATAAACTAAGTTCAAAGTGGTATGTTGGTGTAATATTCCAATATCAATTGTATAGGGACTTGCTGGGAACAGCCCTGGTTTTCATTTTTATTTAATGTGATGACTTTCAGTCTATTAATGCAGTAGGTTACTCCGTTTATCTCATGATTTGTTGTGATTAGTACTTTCAACCTATACAGGAATGTATTTTTTCTGAGAGATTATTTGGCTATCTAACTGACAAAGGTGTGAAATAATAGATTAATACCATAATATTTATTTAAATTGGGCAATTGACATTAATAAATTGATCTCTAAGCTTGTGGCCAACTTAATGATGTGCTATGACTAATTTTGATTTTATTAATCTTAAGTAGTTGTATACATTTTTAAAAGTACTAAAGACTTCCGTAAATTGTTTAGTCTTGAACTTTGTTTGATACTCCCCATAACCTAGCTTTAGATTTCTTTGTCATAAAGATGTGGAAGCACTTTATGATAATCGTGCATATGATTAAGTTAGTATAGCACACCTTTTTAATGCATTTATTTCCCAAGCTTTCAATTTTTCCTTTTCCTTTAGCTGAATTAACATGGCATGAAGGGAGCTCGACTTTCTCAAGCCCTATTTCACCATGGGGTGTAGAATATGAGTCCTCAGTGAAGCATCAGCCAAGCTGTGAGTCTAAGAGTTCTAGTCCTGGCTCAGGCTTTAGTGTAGCAGCAATTTTAGAAACCTTAAATGGTCCTTCTCATATTCCTACTTCACGCACCGAGTGGATTTCATTTACTGATGAACAAAATCCAAGAAAAACTTTAAAATCAGAGTTGAAGGAAGCAGCACAAACTAAAACTTCACCACCAAACTCCAATCCTCCTGACATCCACGCCTCCAGAGCCTGCTGTGTTCAGCCAGCCTTGCACCTTGTTGTCTCCAATCCTCCTGTGGCCTGTTTTCAGTTGTCGTCTTCCAGCAGCTCATTTGATGACCAAAGTGACCTTCAGAATGATTTTACAGGCAACAAGAAAATACCCATGGAAGAGAATAAAACTGGATCAGAAGGTTTTCCCTTTCCTGCAGCTCAGCCAGTGGACGTTAGTTTAACGCCTGTGGTTACTGACTTAAATAATGGTATGCCAGCGCGATTTGTATGACACTGCTTAATATTCTGACTGTGAACATATCTTTCATTAACAACATGTCCTGTACTTTTAAGTGTGATAGTTGAGATCAATTTCTGTTTAACTAGCATGACTTTTCTCTAGATGACCAAATTGTACAACTATGTACTAGCTGTGTGCACGTGATTACACTGACTTTCCTAACCTACATCAGTTAAATCTGTAAATTTCCCAACTTTTGAAGTTGAGCTACTAACGGCAGCATTTTATTAGTGACAACAAAGTTGATGTGATTTGCAAAATGTCTACCACCTTCAGTCCTTTTTGCCGTTATTTGGGATCAGAAATACATCAGATTGTGTATATATGTGTCTTATACTGACATCAAATTTATATAGGTAACTAGTGCAGTGAAAGGACCAATAGTTTAAACTTGGAAGTCAAATAATCACATTATGTTTGAGTACCATTAAAAAAAAGTGGAAGAGATTCAAACGTAAGAGGTAGTGGTGATATATTAAACTGGCATGAGAATTTTGCAAAAACATTTTGTTTTATTTTCTGAGAAAAAGATGGGATCCAGATTATTCAAAAATAGATGAAAGGATCATCAGCAAAATGCACTTTGGTTTCATGATTAATTTTTTTTTTTAAAGATTTTAAAGTAATACACTGATATCCAATTGGCATTATCTGTAAGAATTCAGGCCAGGTTGACTGTGTTGAAAGTAGATCTTCAAATCTACTACTGCAGAACATACTTTTTCAAGACTCAGAATTTCAAGTTATGGAAAATTTGGATTGTCTAAATTGTTTTGTGCCTGACATAAAAGGCTTGATTAGTATCTGTATTTTCTTTGTGAATTTTATAAAGACAAAAATGCTTTAGCATGGAGATACTGAGAACAGGCATTTGTTCTGCATGTTTCAAATGAAGAAAACATCATCTAATTAAGTGCTGATTAGAAGATAGGAATGGTTGTCACATCTGGCTGTAGTCCCCACAACAAATCACTTTGAGAAGTTTCAATATAATCAGACATAAATGTAAATTCAACAGTATATTCATTTTAGTTTTGCAGGAACAAATGAGACATTCTGTAGAAGACTTTTGTCTTGCACTCATCAAGACAGCATTGCAAGAATGCCCAATTTCAAAGGAAACAACAACTTGTAGTTCATGAGAAGGGGGAGCTGATTGCCAGAGGCATTGCCATGAAGAAAGCACCATAAACAGTCAACTGCCCGGCTTTTGTTTAAATTTAAACCAAACAAGCCAACTCTGATTGAAAGCATTGTCCTGGTTGTCTTTAGCTTTTGTTTAGTTAAAAAGTTGTAATGATTGAACATGTGTTCTGACTCAGCAAATATCCCTTTCTGTTTGATGTGGGACAATGGCAACCAGAACTGAAGCCTGTGTGAGAACAAACTCGTCGTGAAACCAGATGGATTACCTGACATTGACCTAGGCACTGGAAAAGATGATGGCAAAAACAGCCCTGTTGACTTTACAAAGTTCTTCCTGACATCTCAGGGCTAGCGCCAAAATTGAGAGAGCTGTTTCACAGACTAGTCAAGTAACAGCCTGACATTGTCTGTAAGGTACGATTCTATAAATATGACTATTTCCCAGACACCACCATCACCTTCTCTGATATGTCCTGTCTCACCAACAGAACAGACCCAGTGGATGCGGTGGAACACTGATATACAGGTTGGGACTTCAGACCCCATCAAGTGCCTGGTTTCAGGTTAAACATGGGAAAAGAAGCCACCTGCTGTTACCAGGTGCTGTGCTCCCTCAGCTGATGAATCAGTATTCCTCCACGTTGAACAACACTTTGAGGAGGCACTGAGGGTGGCAAGGGCGCAGATGTACTCTGGGTGGGGGATTTCTGTGTCCACCACAGAGAGTTGCTCAGTACCAGTACTACTGATGAAGCTGGTCGGCTCCTAAAGGACATAGCTGCTAGACTGGGCCTGCAGCAGTGGTTAAGGAACCAAAAAGAGGGAAAACCATACTTGACCTCATCCTTACTAATCTGCTAGCTGCAGATGCATCTAACCATGACAGTTTTGGTAAGAATGACCACTGAATCTTGTGGAGATGAAGTCCCGTTTCTTTCATCAAGAATACCCTTCATCGTGTTGTGTGGCACTATCACTGTGTTAAATGGGACAGACTTTGAACAGATGTAGCAACTTCAAGACTAGACATCCATGAAGGGTGGTGGGCCATAAACAGCAGCAGAATTGTACTCCAGCACAATCGGCAATGTCATGTCCTGGCATATTCCCCATTTAGCCATTACCATCAAGCTAGGGGATCAAACCTGGTTGAGTGGAGAATGCAGGAGGGCATGCGAGGAGTAAGACCAGGCATATCTAAAATAAGGTGTCAACCCGGTGAAGCCACCAAACAGGACTACTTGCATGCTAAACAGCATAAGCGACAAGTGATAGACAGAGCTAAGCAGTACCACAAACAATAGATCAGACCTAAGATCTGCAGTCTTGCCATATCCAGTCGTGAATGATGGTGGACGATTAAATGACTCTTTGGAGCAGGAACCTCAACAAATATTCTCATCCTCAATGATGGAAGAGCCCAGTGCATCAGTACACAAGATAAGGCTGAAGCATTCGCAGCAATCTTCAGCCAGAAGTGTTGAGTGGATGATCCATCTTGGCTTCCTCCAGTGGTCCCCACATTCACTGATGCCAGTCTTCAGCCAGTTTGATTCTTGATATCACATGGAGCGAAACAGTTGGAGGCACTGGATACTGCAAAGGTTATTGCCCCTGACAACATTCTGACAATAGTACTGGAGACTTGTGCTCCAGAACTTGCTCTTCCCCTAGCCAAGCAATTCCAGTAGGGTTACAGCACTGGCATCTACTTGACAAGGTGGCAGTTTGCTCAGGAATGTCCTGTACACAAAAAGCAGGACAAATCTAACCCAGTCTGTTATCACCACATCAGTCGATGGAAGGTATTATCAACAATGCTACCAAGCACCACCGCTCAGCAATAACCTGCTCAGTGACACCTGTTTTGGTTTCCTCCAAGATCACTCAGTTCCTGATATCAGTAAAACCTTGGTTCAGTCATGGACAAAAGCACTGAATTCCAGAGGTGAGGTGAGAGTGACAGCCTTTGGCATCATGGACGCATTTGACCAATTGTAACAACAAGGAGCCCAAACAAAACTGGAATAATGGAATTCAAGGAGTGAGCTCTCCACTGTGTTGGAGTCATACCTGACACAAAGGAAGATGCTTGTGGTTGTTGGAGGCCAGTTATCTCAGCTCCAGGACATCTCTGCAGGAGTTCCTCAAGGTAGTGTCCTTGACCCAGTCACCTTCAGTTAATTCATCAATGACCTTCCCTCCATCGTAACGTCAGAAGTGGAACTGTTCGCCAATTATTAGACAATGTTCAGCACCATTCATGTCTACTCAGATGCTGAAGCAGTCCATGTGCAAATGCAAAAAGATCTGGACAGTTTCTAGGCTTGAGCTAACAAGTAGAAGGGGAGGCAATGGCCTACCACGGTAGCTGGTGGAATTTGAATTCAGAAATATCTGGAATTAGGAATCTAATGATGACCATGAATCCATTGCCAGTTGTCGGAAAAACTCATCTCGTTCATTAACATCCTTTAGGGAAGTACACTGATATCCTTACTTGAGCAATTAGGGATGGACAATAAATGCTGGCCTAGCCAGTGATGCCCTCATCCCATGGAACATTCATTCCACGCAAATGTCAAGCAATGACCACTTCCAATAAGAGACAGTCTAACCACCGGCCCATGACATGGAATGGTGTTACCATCACTGAATCTCCCATTATCAACAGTGGCTACAAGAGCAGTCAGAAGCTTTGAATACTGCAGCAAGTAGCTCGCCTCCTGACTCTCCAAAACCTGTCCACCTTCGACAAGGCACAAGTTAGGAGTGTGGTAGAATACATCCCATTTGCCTGGATGGGTGCAGCTCCATCAACAAACGAAAAGCCAGACACCACCAAGCACAACCCAAGATGGTGGCAGAGTAGGGGAGCTGAGCCTGGGGCTCGTCCACTCCCGTCACTCTTTCTTTTTCTTTTTTCTTCTCTTTACCTCCATTCTTTTTCTTCTTTGTTTTCTTTTCTCTTTGTTTCCCTTGAAGCCCAGAGAATGGTGGGTGGAGGAGGAGGCCTCCGACGGCAGCAACACCCAAGATGAGCCAAACGTGGCTCCACCCCAGCCCGGGGTCTCCCATCGAGCAAGGAGCGGGTCCTGGGCTGACGTGAGGGACCTGGACTCGTAAGCTGGGCCAAGGCTTCAGGTCCACAGCTAGGCCCGGACACCTGAAGGAGCAGAAACATCACTGACAGGGGTGGATTGGCGGCAGGACTAGCAACGGATGGTGAACAGGAGACTTCTCCTGGCCTAGTGACAAGGTGGTTTCCAGTGGCTCGGCATGGCATTCTTCTCCTGGAATGGCAGGATCACCCAGGCTGTGTCTTCAGAGTATTCCGTCATATCTTAATCAGCTTGCCCTGACCCCAGGAGCCATTAACTGAACTGTGATGAACTTTGTCTTAATTTTCCTTTTTTTTTTTTTGAATTATTTATGTATGACTTCTGTCATTAATATAGGCGCTCTGGTGTGGCGACTTATAAAACTTCTCACTGTATTTTTCATCTAAAATTAGAGGTGACAATAAATTTCTGTTTTATTATATTCTACTCTATTCTATCCAGGACAAAGCAGCCCACTTGATTGGCACCACATCCACAAACGTCCATTTCTTCCACCACTGACATTCAATGGTAACAGTGTGTACTATCTACAAGACGCACTGCAGAAATTCACCAAAGATTCTTGAGACAGCACCTTCCAAACCCACAACCATTTCCATCCAGAAGGACAAGGGCCACAGATACATTTCCCACTTGCAGGAAACTACCTGCAAGTTGCCAAGTCATTCACCATCCTGACTTGGAGCTATATCGCCATTCTTTCACTGTTAAGAGCATTGTTAGTCTATCTACATCACACTGACTGCAGTAGTTCAAATAGCTACCTTGCTAACACATTATCAAGGGCAACTCGAGAGGATTAATAAATGTAGTCCAATCAGCAATGCCCACGCATCACAGTGCAATGGAAAACAAAACTTCCAGAGATTGCGTGATCAGAGACTTTACTGTAGCTTTGCCCAGCTACTTGTGCGTAAGTGTGTTTATAATGTAAGTGTCTTTCAAGTGGTATTATTTATGCTGTGGTCATCCTTGGAGGCAATAAAGTGAGACTAATGAATCAGATTGAAAAATGAAAGAACTTTATTCACTTCAGATGGAGCTTCAAAAATGGCTTTGACCAAGCAGGTTTGAATTTATGCAAAAGCTTGATGTTTAACTGTTCTGTAGTGCATTGAAGGATAATGAGTTTCGTTGCCAATATGATGGCATGTATATAGACCATATGTCCCAGCGGTTGGCTGATCAATTCAAACAACATGTTCCTTCAGTTATTTGTAATTGGCAGAGTACAGACTGTACTCAGTAAGCCATTACTTGCAAAACGAATGTGTTACTTTGAGAAAACTGTTACAAGTGATTCCTTGGCAGCATTTGCTGAACATACACTAAAAAAACAACTTAAAACAATCAGTCAAGCTCAATTTTTGCTTGCTAGAAGCAACATATTCTGGACCTGTTCTCTGAAAACAAAAGCAATACAGGTATGTTCAAGACTTGACCTTTTTTGAATTTCAGGGAGATTAGGGAGCCATTGTGTTCAGTGCTGCCTTCTCCTCGATAATGTCTTATTATCAAACTCCTTTGATTTGCCAACTAATCAAGAAGGAGTGCATGCTTCCTATGATGGTGTACCGTGTGCCCATCAGGAGCACCTTAGTCTGTTGTCCATGATGTCTTTGAGGCATGACCTTATACAACTTTATAAAATCGTGAGGGGCATGGATAGGGTGAATAGCCCAGGTCTTTTTCCTAGCGTGGGGGAGTCCAAAACTTGAGTGCATAGGTTTAACTTGAGAGGGGAAAGATTTAATAAGACCTGAGGAGCAACTTTTTCATGCAGAGGGTGGTGCGTATGTGAAATGAGCTGCCATATTACGCAGTGGAGGTGGGTACAATTACAACTTGTAAACAACATCTGGATAGGTATATGAATAGGAATGATTTAGAGGGATATGGGCGAAATACTGGCACGTGGGACCAGGTTAGATTAGGGTGTCTGGACGAGTTGGACTGTAGGGCCTGTTTCCAGGCTGTATGACTCTGTAACAATGTCTCTACCAGAGTCCACTATCTCCCAATCCACATCCTCATTTTATGCGGCATAGATTTCCATTTCCTTTGGAAGTTACTTTCTTGTGATTCTGCCTTGATGAGTGCAAGACAAAAAGCTTCATCAGCAGATTTCTTTTTCAGAGATATTCAAGTTCTAATTACCGAGTTAGTATCAAATTGCTACCTGTCAAAAGGAGGGGTGTCAGTATTACACATTCTAGTCTATTTAATGACTGGTTCATAAATGCAGTGCATTTAGGAGAAGCAAATGCTAATATTATAGAGTTTGAGTGTTGCATTTTCTGGTGAATGTTATTTAATTTTTATAAAGTAAATTTTAGACTTTTTACTCGCATGTCTGTACTGCTTTGAAACCAGTAATTTAGCTACAAGTTGCACAGGAATAGTCTATTTTTCACTATTTTTTTCATCTTTCCAGAGTGGTTAGGCTAAGATTTAGAACGCTGGTGGATTTGAACTCCCCTATCCTCAACAACTTTGATGGAGTACGTGGGCCCTAAACCAGAGGCAGTATCCATTTTAAGTATTTATAAAAATCAGTTTACTAAATTGAAACTCACTCTTGCTTGAGTTTGTTTCTTCTTTTTTCTCAACAAACCTTTACTTTGTTTGAAACTGACATTGACTTCCATTATATGATGCAAAATTTTGATTCTTTGATTAGGAAATACCAACAAAGCAAGCTAAGTGACTGAGCAGTTACAGAATTCAGATCCTTTTACACAAACATTAAGTAATGATAGGGAGGGAAGTTACGAAAAACCTCCTTTATATGGTTTGAAATTACTTTCTATATGAACAGCATGAAAATGATTTGCAACTATTGTTGCTCATACATGTTAGTAAATGAAGTTGTATGATACGAAGTTAATTCAAAACATTTATGCTAGGTTCTTTCAAATACCAGCAGACACCTACAAAACATTTGCTGTCAAAGTAATATCTTTATTGAAACAGTACTACTTTAAATTCAGTGTTTCTGGCTATACTTTCATCAAAAACTTGAATAGAATGAAAACCTCTCACTCTGGAAACAGCCAAGTAAACCTATGTATGTGTAAAAACAGTTCTAGGAATGTAAATATAAATTCTGCCAAGATCTGACTTTGTGACTTATTTTTATAGTGATAGAATATGCAAGTCTAATTGGAAACTGCTTACGCCTGAGTTGAAAAGTTAGGTTCTCATCTGTGGGCTCAATATTATTCAAAAAAATAAATACTCAATTCCTTAAAATCTGCCTATTATAATCTCAGCATCTAGCATTAAAGAAAATGGCTTCTCAACTCCTAACATCCATGACAAAATCTTTGTTTAGGATTCAAGTTTTTCAGAAAAGTTGTAACTGCTTCTTTCTTGTGTGGTAGCTTGCCCATTCGATGTAGACTTATAGAGACTCTGGAGGATATAGACTGATACCATCATCTTCATGATCGAATCAATTCCCCATTCCTCATGGAAACGGTCTCTTACAACCATTATTGTTGTTGGGTTTCCCTTATATCTGCTTTTCATGTTTTTAACCAAACCCAAATCCACCATCGTGAGCTGTTGGCAGGCACAAATGTACCATGTGCTGCAGTTTGTGTGTGTGCAACAGGCACTTAATAAACCATCAGTGGACCTGCCACTTTAACTGACTAATCAAAACCGTCCTGACTGACAGAAACTAAATAATATTAGTGTAGATGATTGGAGGAATTGTTTTGTTTAAATATGTTGTGTGTTACAAAATAAGGTATGAGTTACTAGGATATATCGAAACTTCACTTTGTTAGCATTTTGTATTATACAGACTCTAGTTAATAGCAACTAACTGTGAATTTTGCAGACTAGCTTTTGATTTGCAGTGACACATGTGGCATGAGAGTTCTCATTACAAGAACTTTTTTGAAGTCAAGTTTGATTTTTAAAATATTTTAAGAATGTTTGTTTTTAAATGAGTGCTGTATTCACAATTGGAAAATGTGATCTGTCATCATTCTGTCAACTGGTATTTCTCTCAAAATTGTTTTGCTTCTTTCAATCTCCCCTTTCAGTCTCGCCCCCAGCAAGACCTACCACCCCACTTAATACAAGTATGATTGTGCCACCACCTCGTCCTACTTCCAGACCAAAGCTTTCGGCAGGAAAACTGGGTGGAATTAATGAAATAGTAAGATGCTTTCTTTAATGCTGAAAATTAATTTTTGCAGAAATTGTTATTACTAAAGGTAAATATTTTAAGAATAATTACATCTGGATTAATTAAGAAAAAGTCTACAAGTTAATGTTAAAGTTTACTTTATGTTAATTCTTGAGTAACAACACAAACTGGAGTATGTTGTCTGTTCTGTTGCATTTTTAAGATATTTGTTAAAAGGACAAATAATTCCAGAAATGTGGTTCTATATATTTTTAGGTCTTCCTTATTCAACCTCCAGTAATAGACAGACAGTTGCAAAACTGGTAAAGAGGAGCACAAAGATATGATCTTAGTTTATTTTTCTGAAAAGTGGAGATTAGGCACTACGTAAAGGTTTTGGTAATACAATCATTGAATGATAACAGCTTGGGAAGCTCAGATTCAAGTCCCTTCTGCTCCAGGTGTGTGTCTTAACATCACTGAACCGGTTTATTTAAGAAATCTAGAATAGTGACAACACACATATATGCACATATTTGGAAGTCTTGTATTAAATTACAGTTTTGATCCTGCTGCTTTTAGGTTATAGTTTTGATCCATTTAGCTATTACCATAATTTGAACTTGCTTGGAGATGCTAAAGCAGACACAAGAACCGATCTTGATTAGAAGCAATCTTTGTAGAGCTCCACGCACCTCCTTTCATTGAAGTGGTCTGGCTAATGCAGGGTAACGGGGACTAAAGGAGAAGACAAATATGTTGCTGAACACAGCAGTGAAATTCTTGCTGGAGGAGGTCCAGAAGATGTTGTATGTTCTGTACCTGCAGTGGGGAAAGAATTCATCTCAGCTTTATGTCCCTTTCCTCTTTAGTAACTGGTGCTGTTTTGCTACATCTTCTGCAATCCTTCTGAAAACCAAAGGGACACCTAGCAAAATGTCCATGATCAAGCACTGCATTTCTCTTGGTAACTTCTAGAAGATGGAGTAGCACATGAGAGTCATAACAATTTTACAACATGGAATGAGGCCCTTTGGCCCACTATGTCCTTGCGAGTCATCAAGCACCTATCTACTCTAGTCCCATTTTTTCAACACACCCTTGTATGCTATGGTGTTTCCAGTGTCTATCTAAATATTTTTTAAATGTTGTGGTAGTTCTTGCCTCTGTCACCTTTTCAGACAGGCAAAATGGTGATGAATCTCATCTACAGTAATCACATATAGTTGACCAGAGCTGCACACAGTGCTCCAGCTAAAACCTAACTAATGTCTTTTATAGCTCGATCATAATCTTCCTGCTCTTGAATTCAGTGCTTTGATTAATAAAGGTAATTATCCTTTATGCCTTCTTAACTACCTTATCTATCTGACCTGTTGCCTTTCAGAATCTATGGACACACACAATAAGTCCCTCTGATCCTCTATACTGCTAGGGTTTTACTGTTCATTTGTGTACTCTCTTGCTTTGTTAGTCCTCCCAGAATGTATCCTCTATGTTCTGGATTAAGTTCCCTTTGCCAATGTTCTGCCCATCTGACCTGTCTATACTGTTTGCAGCTTTCATCCTCACTGTTTACCACACCACCAGTTTTCGTGTCATCTGCAACATTACTGATGAAACCTCTGACATTGATGTCTAGATCATTAATGAATACTACAAACAGCAAGGACCCAGTGCTGAGCCCTGTGGTAAATGACTGGACACAGGCTTCTAGTCACAGAAACAACTTTCAACCACTATCCTCTGCCTCCTGGAGTTAAGCCAATCTTGCTTGCCTCCCTTTTTTTGACTGGTGGTCACCCATTTGTTCCCACATTGTACTTCCTTAAGCTATGGGGTGACCATGTCTTAAAAACATGCAATCTTTGTAACTCTCAACCTGGTCAAATGTACTCCAATGTCTCCAGCTGACATGGAAACGCTAAAATCCATGCTCAAGTTGGTCATACCAGTGCCATTTCCCACAGATGTGGTCATTCTGACAACCTATCTGAATTACAGCTGATTGGCTTGGCTTCGTGGCCGGAAGGCATAGAGTTAGCATTTTAAGTTGGAGTTATGTTACTAGATAAAAGTTGTTTAATAAATTATTGCCACATCCCTTTAACACCCCAGATTGATGTTATTTGCATTTCTTAACGAAATATGTATTGACAAAGAAATCAACCTTGGGATAAGTAGTTGAGTTATTTAGCACCAAACTGTTCAGATGGCTTATTAAATAGTGATAAAGCAACATCATTTTTATGTGCCAGAAAGTTACATTTGTGAAGTACAAGAAAATAATTATCACTGTAAAGGAAGTCCTTCAGAGTAGCATATCTTCCTCTAGGGAGAGTTTAGGATTCTAGAATCCATTTAGCTTTAAATGTAAGACTCAGGGTCCAACTAAATATGAGATTATATCTGGTATAAGTGTGTCTTGACAAGTTTCACCAGTTTACTAAGTTATCAAAATAAATACAACACTGACACTTAGCCAGTCCACAACAGAATACCAATCCTCGTTTGGCTGAGATGCTGTCTCTGGTTCTTTCTGCGCACAACTGTCAAGTAAGCCTTATTAACCCTTTCCAAACAACTAATAGCATGATCAGAAATGTCTCTGAACCTAGATTGCTCCAATCCTAAATTGCCAAGGTGATGCCTAGTGCATGAGCAGTTCATGGGCCATCTTGGATTTGCTAGGTAGTTTATGCCCAATTTATGATTAGTTTCTTTAAAAGTAAAGCCATCACTCTCCATTCTCCACTGATTGGTCTGTTGAGATTAAATTCACTTATGAGGCCATGCCTACTCATTTTCGCTTTACCTATTATTTCATTGATTTTTGTAGCTTACTACTGAGATAAAATATTTTATAATAGCTTCTTTGTCCATTTGTTTAGAATAGGAGACGTATGCAGTAATGTCCTCATGAATTATACCATATCCTATCGTCTTAGATCTTACCTATTGATACGTGTCCCTCATTAAATCAAACACTTATCAATGACTATTTTAAAGACCATCTACTCTATGCATTTTTCCTTTCTCTAATTGTGGGTTTGGAATGAAGTACTTTTGAAATAAAGAATATAGTGGAAAGTTTGCATGTTACTACAAAATGTAAAACTAATACAGAGATTTACAAAGTACTAATACATAAAATCACAAAGGTTTTAAAAATGTGCAAAATAAACAATGTATAAAAGGTAACGTGGTGAGATATTCCTATTGCTTACAAAATTAACTGTAAATATGTTTAGCAAAAACGTGATTATTGTTCTAAGTATAACACCATGAAAGATTTTTTTTTTTTCTTTTTGCTGGTGATGATGCCAGGTTGACATTGACTTAGCAGTGAGAAAGAGTGTAGCTCACTCTTTCGACCTAAGCAGAGTTTCTCACGTGTCTTCTGCTTCAAGTTCCATAGTGCATTCGTCTGTCAGTAAAACTAAGCAACCACTTTGTTAAAGTCCTGCATTGGTCACATTTTGAACAGAATAGCATAATACTAGATTAATCAAACAGTACACACTGAACTAAACTTGAAACATGAATTTTTCTGCAGAGTAGTAAGATAACTGAAAGATCAGACCTTTTTAAACCAGGAAATTTGAAGAATTAATGGGGAAATTCAACTTAAAAAAATTTTGAAGAGATGACATTTGCTAAATTGATTTGATTGAGAATGTATGGTTTTCAGCTCTGTAATTCCAAAAGGGTAAGTTACGCCTGGAAAAAAAGACCTAATGAAGTCAACAATATGACGAGCCTGAGAGTAGAAACAAAAAGAACTGCAGATGCTGGATTCCAAGGTAGACAAACAAATGGCCTGAAGAACACAGCAGGCCAGGCAGCATCTGGAGGAAGGGAACAGTCAACATTTCAGGGTTACTCTGTGGGGGAGGGAGGTTGGGTGGAGGCAGAACAGTGGCGATAGGTGGACACTGGAGGTAGATACGACTGGGTTGGTCAAGGGGAAGGAGGAATAAATCCGGTTAGTAGCTGGAAGGGAGGGCTGGAAGGGAAGGGGAGGTGGGGTGTGGGTGGGAAGGTTATTTGAAATTGGAGAACTCAATGTTGAGTCCTCCGGGCTGTAGGGTGCCCAGGTGGAAGATAAGGTGGTGTTCTTCAAACTTGAGTTCTGAGGCACTGGAGGAGGCTGAGGATGGACATGTTGGAGGGGGAGTGGGACGGGGTGTTGAAATGGGTGGTGACTGGGAGGTTAGGTTGGCCGTTATGGTCCAGACGGAGATGCTCGGCGAAACGGTCACCCAAGTCTATGTTTGGTCTCACCGACATAGAGAAGACTACATCAGGAGGACCAGATGCAGTAGATTAAGTTGGAGGAGATGCAGGTGAAACTCTGTCTCACTTGGAAGGGCTGTTTAGGGCTTTGAATGGAGGTGAGGGGGGTGGCGTGTGGGCAGGTGTTGCGTCTTTTACAGTTACAGGGGAAGGTACCGTGCAGGTTGGAGTGTTTGGGGGGGGAGCATGGCACAAACTCAGTAGTGGTGAAGGGAATTGTCCTTACGGAAGGCAGAAGGGGTTGGGGAGTGGAAGATGTTCTGTGTGGTGGGGTCTAATTGGAGTTGGCAGAAGTGTTTGAGGATGATACACTGGATGCGGAGGCTGGTGGGGTGGAAAATGAGGACAAGGGGTACCCTATCTTTATTATGTTTGGACCGCGTCCTCCACTTCTTTGGTAACTTCAAGTTCCTTGACCCCCAGCGCTGCTTCTTTACTATGGATGTTCAATCCCTATACACATCCATACCCCACAAAGATGGCCTATAGGCCCTCAGTTTTTTCCTCTCCAACAGACCCATCCAGTCTCCCCACCCCCCAATACCCTCCTCTGCCTCACCAAACTAGTCCTTGCCTTCAATAATGTTTCCTTCAATTCTTCCCACTTTCTCCAAATCCAGGGGTTTGCCATGGGCACTTGCATGGGCCCAAACTACGTCTGCCTGTTTGTCAGTTATGTTCACAGCTATTAACCACCAATCCCTTCCAAACATAATAAAGATAGGGACCCCCTT